TGCCCACAGTCCCTGGGTGTTACAAGGTGGCTTGGACCAGGGACCACTTAGGGTAAGTGTTGGGCCCATAGAGCCCATAACATGGGTTTCAGGGGGTGCACTGTCCTTAACAGTGTATTCGGCCAGGTCTTGTAACAAAGGCTGGGCCGAACCCATGTGGCTGATGTGTATATCAATGCTTAGGTCCCACGCCATACAAGGAAGCCCAACTGGGCAGCAGCTAGGAAGGTTAAGTGAGCACATAAGCTTAATGGGCCTAAAGCCCATTTCGAATTGGGCTATTTTGTTAGTTAATAATGGGGCGAATTCTGAGATGGATTAGCAAATAGGATAGGGTCTTGACCCTATCCACTCATAGAGTCCAGATCTGAAATGTGATTCAAATCTAAAATCTCCTAATGAGATTAGGAGAAAGCTAATCTAATCTGCAGATAAGATAAGGGTTTATCCCTATCACCTAAAGAGAGGTCTTATTCAAATATGATTTGGATAAGCAGCTCCTAATTGGATTAGGAGCTGATTTTTTAGGTTAACAAAAGGAAGAAGGGGGCGACAGCCTTGAGAAGACACACATTCAGATCCTCTTTAGTGCTGAAATCATAGAAGAAAGAATTAAGCAACCCTGTAGAATTCTCTCTTGCCGCCTCCTTCCTACTGCCGCCATTATCTCCAGTTCGTCTCCAGTTCTTGGGAGAAATCAAGATCTGATCTTGATACCGATCTTTTGGGAAAAGATTGATTGGAGTTGTACTCACAAGCCATCCAGTTGATTCATGTGAAGGGTCAAGTTCTTTTGGAAGAACAATGCTGATTCTGCTCCATCCTGCACTGCGCCATTTTCAGTGGGAGCAGATTTTGGATCCTTCATTAGACGTGAACACCTCCATTAGGAGATACTATTTCTCCGTATCAGGTACATCCTCCCTCCTACTCCTTTTGGTTCAGATCTGGTTTGGTTCATGGTTCAAGAATGATCTTTGAAAATATGATTTTCTAAATAGGGAATGCGGTTCCCAGTTGAAGGGAGAGAAATTTTTTTTTGAAATTCGCCCCTTATTCCGCAATCTTTGGACGTCCATACGATGGATATCTCACATCCCTTTAGTGGTATCAGAGCCATGGTTCAAATCTTGAACCAATTTGTTTCAGATCTGAACCTGCGCAAATGGGCAGAAGGTTTTCTACCCAATTTGCGCAGATATG